TTCTATGCCGAAAGGAGAAGGACGCGGCAACAAGGTCGAAATGAAGACCGAGTTGAATCGAATACTGTTGGTAGTTTATTATAACACAGGAGGAATCTGTCAAATAAAAACAGTCCTTTCCACGATACAACTCATAACCTAATGGAGAAGAGAAGCTCACTGTTTTGAAAAATCTCTCAAGTCCAGTCTTCACTTGTCTCGGTTTTTCCAACGAGCAGGTCGGGGTCCAATTTTTCAAATGGCTTTTTTCCTTCTTCTAAATTAAATGTTCATTCCAGAGAAACACTCTGCTTCCCAAGAAATCTCCAGATATTGCTCTCAGGCCAGCATTGCAGTCCACTTATTTAAGTTGCTCCAGAGCAACTTATCTAATATAAAATAACAAAATTTCAATCACGTTCGATATCGTCGATCGCGTGCGCATCAAATGACCCAAGTCCGGTTTGAACTCAGGCACCTTGGTAGGCTACACAGGCACAATAACGAAAAGCACGAAAGCGCACGGAACAATATAGATTCATTCACACAATACATGTACATTGCGTGCAGATAGACGATTGAGTGGGAATTAGCGAAAAATATTCCATGTTTGCTTGAGTTAACCAAAGGAAATGTGGTTAAGTTATCATACGGATGGCCAAAAGTTTACCTTTGTTTTACTAGAGTTAAAAACAAGCTGTCTATTTACTTTCTGTCGATAAATCAGCATCCTCTTCATCAACGTCACAAGTAGAAGAAGACATGAGATTTCTTAATGAGTGCTATGGGTCCAAATCGGGCGATCGTATTTATCACCATGAACAACTTCAGTTTTTAATTGATCGACGCTGTCAGTGTAATTGTTTAGTTATGTTGTTTGAGTTTTCGGTCTCTTCACACATCCTTCATCACATTTGCTCTGGTGCATTTGCTGCAACAAGATTAGGAACTTAATGAAACATGACTATCACAATAGAAGATCCTAAAATAAATCCTACTCAACGGGGAGGGGCCTGAGGTAGTCACAAAATTGCATTACTGCTTAGATTGTCACCGAGAGTACAGCAGCTGTTATATTTTCCTCCACACATACAATTCAGGAATTTGTATGTAGTCCCATGGTCAACATTTCCTTGTAATGATGGTCGAATCACGAACTGCAATGTGTAAAGAAACTGTGTGATTATTCAGCGTGATAACACCTCTACTGAAAATGTACCGTATTGGACTGTGGTTGGAGAATCAAGACAGTCAACTGGACGGCCTAAAGTGGGCACCTGAACCTGATCAACATTGGTCGTTATTGCTTGGTGAGTCGGGTCTACGTATATGAGAAGATATCTCAATGTCCACGAAGCAAAGACAGCTTTCTTTGATGAATGGAACAACTGTGAAGTTCATTCAATCCAGAACCTAATTGGAATTCTCCTTGAGCGTGAATAACAAACATTGATGTGATTGGTGACCATATAGATGTTTTCATCATTTTTCTGGGATGGGCTTAAGCACATCTGGTATCGGTAGGATTTGAACCCACATATGAACGCCGCCTACGCTTTGTACGCGCATGCTCTACCAGCTGAGCTACGAGGCCACACCGATAGCACTGATCTTTTCACATTCGAATTATTCATCCAACTTACAGAGATATATGGCATCCACCAGTTAGCGTGTCAGCTG